GGAAATTGATCTAACAAAAATTTTTGACACAACAATGACTTGAGATTCTCCTATCGCACTTTCTAGCTCTGCTCCTTATTCTTGATTAACTGATATAAGTACTTGTAAAGACTGAACTGATAAGTGCACATTCATATTATTATTATTATTATCTTATTGCAAAAAGAATGAAAAACTCGATTATCCGATTAACTGAAAATAAATGTTAATCAGTTAGGACACAGAAAATAAAGAAGATTTTTAAAAAGCGTCCTCTTTATTTTCGCGTGCGAAGCGAATATCGTCCTGGAAAATCCCGCCACTCAGAGCCGTTAATTGCAGTAGCCAGTGCCTAGGTACTGCAGTAAGCTGAGTTCGAGTAAGCGCTACACGTCTCTCTCTTTTCTGCCGCGCAAGAGACCGAANAAAAAAAAAAAAAAAAAAAAAAAAAAAAAAAAAAAAAAAAAAAATCGGCACTCCACTATAAGCATCACGGTTAGAAGCAAGTGTCGGATCACCATAGGCCCACCGATGCAAGGCGCTCGGCACGCTCGAGGTATACCTAAGTTCTTACGAAATTTCGAAACATCGGCCCGGCACATAAGAAAACTCACTTGCGAGAAGCATCGAAACAAGGTGTGGCGAATATACTCTTACGCTCTTTCTCTCGTTCGGTTCGGTCTACTCGCAGAGTTCATGCTTTATACTCTCACTTGGGAATATATATATATATATATACATATATGTACAGGTACACGCGCGTGCTTTCTAAACACTTGGGGGATAGCGCGCCGGGGCTTTTTTCCATCTCAATAAAAGACGAGACACTTTCCGAGGCTGAAGTCATGTCAGGCGTTAGCTAACGCGATAGCGCGCGCATGGGGCGACTGTGACCGGTATGTATCAGTAGTGATATACGCAAACTGGAGTACAGACAGTATAGCGTCTATATACACAGGTTGGAAAAATCCACGTGTCTTGTATAACGCTTCCGGAATCTGCCTTTCGTTCAATATAATAATATATGTATGTATGGTGTTGTTGGATGATGATAACTACTTTATCGTAAACTCACGTGCTATTGCAGTTGCGGTGGACAATGACAATAGTCCTTGATTGTCAATTAAGTGACGCAGGACGCATTAGCATTGGTATTTGGATACAAAGTCGTGCGGGCAATGCCGATGAATGCCGGAGTGTTTAAATTAATCTTTACTTTGTTTGGGATCAGACCGATTTGTATTTACCCGCCGTGAGACATCCCAATCATAAGTACTTACGGCACGTAGCATATACATTCGCGATCACTTAGTTAGGAGTACAAAGCCCAACACTATAAGTTACCTGTTCCTCAAACTGCTCAAGCAAAAGCTCGTTATTGTATCGAGCGGAAGCACAGCTAAAGCGACAAGAAGAGCAAAGTCCATACCAGCGCAATAAAAACGCACCGAAACAAACGCAAGGTATTTTCATGATATGTGGATGGGATAAACGCATGTTTAATCACCAATAAAAATTTAATTTGGTGTACAAGATGTAGGATTACGCAGTACATGTACGCTACTAGGCGATAAAGCTCATCTTGACCAACAAAAAAGCTCTTTTTATCTAACACGTGTGCCTTCAAAACTATTAAGAAGTTGTAAAAAACAAAAAAATACTATAAAAGCTGCCACATATACATCAGATAAATTCATTAATTTTCAGTTACCGCGTACACATGGAAAAGCTGTAAGCTCTAAATGTGCCAAAAAGCTATTTCATGTTACATCTCTATGATCCAAATCTTTTCTAGTACAATCTCTTACCGAAATATTTTTAACCCCGAGTAAACAACATACCCACAACTTATGGTACACTTGCGCAAACCCACAAAAATCCTCCAACCCCCGGTTAAAAATATATGAGTATAGTGATGGCTAGGAAGGAGCGCGCGCTCTCATGTCTTTCCTCGGCTCGACTACGTGCATGGGCGTCTACACAATCTCCGTATGCACACATGCCCAACCAGCGACCAACGACTTCGGCGCACACGCGGCTTTTCTTTTCGAGAGAATATATGCAGCACCAGTAACAGCAGCATAGCTTTGGTCAGTTTCGCGAGCACCCCACTAGCGTCAACACGTATAGTACAAGATCGGCAAAAATCTTAGACTCCGGGCTTTTACTATTAACTATAGTATAGTCAAATCGCATCCAACTTTGTATGCTGCTATTGTTGTTGTTATTGTTGTTATTGTTGTGGAATACACAAGTGTGCGACGTGTATACCATTTGCTCGTAAAGTGCGGATTATGTGTGGCGCGTCGGAGCTTTCGAGACACGAGCTTTTCTTTTTTTTTACTTGAAAAGGAGTCACGTGTTTAAATATAGATCCGCGAATATCTGGTGCTACTTTTCCTTCGAAGTAGGGGGTCAATCGAGTTTGCTATCGGCGAGAGCTTTTGCCCTTTTATTTCAGCACGCGGTCTTGTGTTGTTACCGACAGTGGTGGGCGAGCTTTTTTTTTTTTTTTTTTTTTTTTTGCCAAAGTCGTCGCATCACACCGCGCGTCTTTGACCTTCGTCCGGCGGCGCGGTGGTGTGCACGCGCGTTTTTTTTCGTCCATATACATATATATATACATATCTACCTACAGTGCGCAGAGCGCGGCGATACAATCGTGTTGTGTCTGCGTGTGTGTGTGCCCCTTCCGCCCCACTATTGCTACGAGAATATATGGTACATACTACTCGGAGTGGCAGCAAAAAATTTCGACTGATTTCAAGCACGAGCGACGAGCGTTAATGAGCGCGAAGAGCTCGCGACAGCCACAACCAGCCTCGGAGGGTCCACTTACTGGACGGGACTAGACGGCACTCGGCGAGTCCTCCGCTATATCGAACGAGACACTCCGAGGATCGCACGTGACCGCAGGTACGTTTTATCAATTGTTATTTCAGTTTACATCAGTTACTTTTTTTTTTTTTTTTAATTTTACTTTACATCAACTTTGACGCTTGTCGAGTGCGGGTGGTTATGTTGGCTTACGGGGTGGAGCTTGCAAGCTCGCGCGCGCCCTAGTGTCGAGGGTGCATTGGGTTCGATTTTTTCTTCCTTTCGTTATCGACTGTCGCTACTTTGCGACGTCAAGAGAGAGAGAGAAGGTGGAGTTGTAAAAGGGTCATACGGTTCATTGACTCGCGTGGACGTGTTTTTCAGGGTCGGCGGAATAATTTGAAAGCGCTTCAATTTTTCCACGCGATCGACTAACAAAACGGACGAAAAATTAACGACTGTTGTCTCTTGCTTTGTTTTTTGGGAAAACAAACAAGTTTCACACCCCAATGCATCGTTGAACTGTAGTATACGAGTCATAGTTTTCTATTGATTCGTTTGTTCGAAAACACGTTTTAATGACGATATCACAAATATGGATCGGAACGAAAAAACAGTTCAATCACATAAAACATACAAACAACGAGACCTTGAAAGCTCTTGTAATCGTCATTCAACTACGTCTTTACAACTTTAGTTGCTCATTTTATCCAACCAACCGTTCAAAGTGTCAAATACACGATGACAGAAGCAAACAAGACATTTTTTTTTTACACTTTACCAACATATCTATATTGATTTGTTTGCAATGCTTCCAAAATTTCTGAAACTGGGAACTATTAATTTTGTGCAAAGACATTACATTAAGAATTTTCACTTCATCACGTTTTTCTCGAACTTTCTGATTAAACTACACAGAATTATAAGGTATGCGCGACGTCAGAATAGTCGCGCCTCGTGAAGGTCAAGTGTAGTGTCGTATACCCATATACTTACATCACGTATATTAGAAATAACAGCAGCGGTAGTTGGAATAATGTGTTATCCCATTGAATATCGTTGGATCAACAATTGAAAACGCGCACGATTTTTTGTTTGTTTCGAGGTTTGTTTTGTTACAAGATTATTTTCTCAAGCAAGCCAGTGTTAAACATTTTAATTTCTATATCGATTCAAGATATAATTTTCTACCCGGAAAAAAAACAAAGAAAAAAAAAAATCAGTGAGCACACAACGTGTCTCGTTGTGATAAGAAATTTAAGTTATTGGCGAAATCTTTTAGTTTTAAATTTTTACCGATGACTTTTATCAACTATGCTATTCGTTAATACAATATAGTCTCATCAACTGCAAATAAAGCTTAATGATCTGCCAAACAGTTTGATGTATCCTCAATTTTTTTTCCTTTTTATTTTAGATAAGTGTTGCAAATCACGCGAGTTTGAAGCTCGAAAAAATAAGCGATTTTATTTTTTTATCAGCGACCTTTACCAGATTACACTCTTCGCGACGTATACTTTACCCTCCAGACATCGCACAATTAAAGTAATGGACAGATACGAAAAAGAACTTATATTTACTCTCAAGCTTGAAAAAAAAAAAAATCTTGCTTTCGTGTTTACACGGATTGTATTATATTACTGATTAAGTCTGGTAAGGTCAGTGCTAATCGTCGGAGCAAACGGTAGCGACGAGAGACCACAACAGTATCGAAACTCTGTCCAAACGACTCTCTTCAAAGTCATCAATTTTGTTGATTCTTCGCACTACATTATCAATTGTCCAATTAATTTTGCAACAAGTACATGTGGCAATTGGCACGGAAACTTTAATCATCCGAGACACGTGGACATACATGTACTCACATTTCGATGAGAAAAGCGATAGATTTAAATTAATCGGTTGGCCATTATTTCTTCGTTTATCGATATGACACGAGTTTCCGTCTTAGCATTCATCGTAGCGCAACATGAATAATTCATATTTACATTATAAATCTTTTGCGAGTTTATCGGCCACGTATGTATTGATAATAAATTATTTATGGCCGTGTTAAGTGTCACGGACAACAAACGACAGTATCATTGGACGTGTGAGTAATTTTTTAATTTTTTTTTCCTTCAGATCAAAATGGCATCGTCAATGGCTACAACCATAACCCACATTGTGATACTGGCAATATACGTATTCACGGTGTATTGCACCTTCTTCGTACTACACATACCAATTTTAAAAGAGAGATTCAAAGACTATGACGTTGGACAGTTCAAGTACCTCACAGTTTGGAACCTGGTGCGTAATGTGTTTTATTATGTATGTACACATTACACGGGTCCTTCGAAAAATACACACAAGGGGCCCATTCTATTATGCGTATTCTAAGGTCAAACGATATCCCGAAAGTAAAAACAAATTTTTGCGCGTCCCTGTACTGCGAGCAAAAATAACACCTCATTAGAATATGTATAGCGTGAAAAATCAATGTCAAATTTTGATATGAAGGAGAAAAAAAATGGGATATTTTATTCATGGCACGTCGTTACCGTAGAAGGATCGGCATTGAGTGTCTTGCAAATGAGAGAAAACTTTTTAAAACTAATATTTATTTATTTATTTTTTAATGATAAAAATCTATTTCTTTTTAGATGTAATTCTAATATCCACCATGGAAATTAACAGGTGTTCGATCTCTTAACATATATATTATGAGCGATTGCACATAAAAATCATACGTTGAATGGTATTTTTTTTTCAATTATATATATGTGATAAACAAGAGAAAAATCGTTGCTACCTTAGACAATTGGTGTGGTTAACGTTCCCGAACCATTTTAAAATTTACGTGGACCTGTTACGTGGAAAATAATTTATTCAATTTTGGTACATTTGGTCAATTGTGCCGAAAATCCGTAAAATTAAAGTTTATCAACTTAAAAGCTACGATAGATTGAATCTAAATATTGTTTGTTTTTTTTGCGATTATTTCCGATTTGCGAGCCCCAGCACCTATTTAAAATAAAAAATCGGATTTCGATATTTGATGGATAAAAATTGAAAAACTTTACGTTAGATTAATACGATTTTTACCGATTCGTCACTAGTACGAGCCAAAAGTGTTCCACAGCCCCGATGTTACGCCATGTATCCAAAGAAATTGACCGATCGGGCGACAACAATAGTTCAACTTCCGCGTAAACACGAGGTTAGCCGCGCCCACTGACACACTGCACTCGAGCCGATTGCAAGCACGTACTTTACTCGACGCGTAATCGATCTCGTCACATCCACCGATCAAGCCTCCTTTTGATCTTCAAGCGTGGAATTACCTTTGTTTTCGCGTTTCCTCTTTTTTATTCGAGAATTAAGGAGCTATGAAGACAGTTTCATCGATTCACACGATGTTTGACTAGTAAACGATGATCACCGATTATACAATACATATTACTTAAGAATCCACGTTGATCATGATATATAAATCATAAAATACAAAAAAATTCAATCTTTTGAAATAGCCAATCCATTATGGCACTACTACTACGTACGCACGTGCATTACACCATCAAAAGACTCGCACACACCTGAGAAAATCGGCAGCACAATAAAAATCGTTAACTCGACGTTACCTACATACGTACACTTCTGAACTACTTACGAGGAGCAAAAAGCGAACGTAAAATCAAATTTCCGTCAACTAGAAGTACACGTAGTTCTTAAGCAACGCCGTCGCAGTCCAACGAGACGATTCGTTTGGCAATTCCCGCACGCGAGCCCGCGTTCAGTGTTACACACACACTCCGATTCGTTTGACCTCTCCCTCTAACGAAAAAAAAAAAAAAAAAAAAAAAAAAAAAAAAAAAAAAAAAAAAAAAAAAAAAA